TCGGCGATAAATTGGAATAAGATTCAAGTTAGACCAACCTATAACGCTCCAAAGCTCGGTGTCATCGTGGACATGGCGAGGATCCAAGTTGTCACGCAAAGTGCCTTCGAACATGGCGGGATCTTGAGGAATGATAGCGAGGCGTCCACGAAGATCAGTCAATCCAATCGTAGACACATCGAGCCCATCAATACTAAATTCTTGTTAGCCTAGAGCGGAGGAAAGAGGTGACAGTATTATGTTCTTACCTGATGTTTCCTTCAACACCCTCGATAATCCGGAAGAGAGCCAGCGTGAGCGAACTCTTTCCGGCGCCCGTTCGGCCAACAACACCGATCTTCTCCTTAGGCTTGATATTGAGACTAACATCCTTGAGCACGAGATCAAGCCCGGGGCGATAGCGGGTACTGTAGTTATTGAACTCCACCGCACCTTGAGCCGGCCAGCCGATGGCAGGGCGACGCTTGAAGATGACCTCGGGTGCCTCGCTCGGGAGATTGGCGTACTCGAGGACTCGCTCAACGGACACAATGTTAGTCTCAACCTCGACAGTCTGGCGCACAATCCAGTTCAGAGACTGCGTGATCTGGAGAGCATATGACATGGCCAAACCGACCATGCCCGGCGAAAGCTTACTGCCAGTCGCAACGGACATAATCGCAAGTCCAGCAGATGCAAGGATAATGATTGAACCAATGAACTCAAGTCGAACGGCGAGCCAGCGATTGGAACTGATGGATGGGAAGTAAGCCCGGAGGTTAGCATCCATGCGCCATTCGTTCTCAAGGGCAAACCGATTCTCCTGTCGGTAAGCACGGATGGTCGAGATGCCGCCCAAGGACTCCTGGAAGTGAGCGTAGATCGGGCTTCGAGTGACGCTGTCCAGACGCTTTAACTCGCGAGAGGTACTCAGGTAGTACCTCTGGTAGCTAAGGTAGATATAACCCAAAGGAATGACGAATAGCAAGAAAGCCGGGGTGGTTGCCGAAATGACAATCATGGTGAAAAATGCACGGGCAGAGTTTGCGAACAACATGTTGAAAGTGCGAGCAAGGACCTCATCGACTCTGTAAATGTCACTAGAGAAGCGATTGAGAATGCGGCCAGATGGTGTGGTTTCAAAGAAGCTCATGGGGGAGCGGAAGATAGCAAATGCCATCCGCTCATGAAGTTTCCGAGATGCTTCGATAGAGCAGAAAATCCACAGGATCAAGTTCTGCACAATGACCAAGAGAGATGATCCCAGGCCAAGCGCCAAGTAGACACCAATGAACTTGCCAACTTGAGCATTGCTCCCATGGGCTTCGTTCCACTCGGTCCAGCGCTTCAACCAGAAGTTGCCCACCACCTGCGCGGTCTGGGCAGCCATCATGGCAAACAAATAAACCATAACCGCCATGACATTGCTGTCCTTTGCGTATTGACCGTAAACACCCCATTTCACCTTGCCTTGCTCGGAAACCTCTTGGGTCTGCTTGCTCTTGAGAACGTTTTCCTCATCTCCCAACTTGCGCCGGGGACCTTGCCAGCTCACAGTGCTCGCACGGCGCAAGGTGACGGTACTGGTGCGTCTACGGGCCTCACCACCTCCTCCTGTCCTGATGGGAATAAGATCGCCAAGTTGTTCCGCCTCCTCGCTGTCCGACGCTCCACCGTTCGGGATGATGGTGGTTGTGACTGAGCTTTCTAGGCTAGCAAGGTCTTCAGAGCCACTAGTAGTACCTTCATCGTCTGAGTCAACCATCGTAGAGCGAACGAGATTGGAAACCTCTCCCTTCATGGCCATCAGTTGTTCATAGGTTCCTTCCTCAATGATGGTCTTGTCCCGCAGCAGGCCGATGAAGTCAGCCTCCTTGAGTACAGTAATAGCGTTTGTTGCAAGAATTCTGGTCTTGCCACTGAGAATACCGGTTTTGCCGAGCACTCTGTTGATGATGTGACGTCCAACGTGCTGATCAACTGCCGAGAGAATGTCATCCAGGAGATAGATATCCGCACGCGCATAAACAGCTCTGGCGAGTGTCAACCGTGCCTTTTGTCCTCCCGAAAGGGAAATGCCACGTTCTCCGACTTCGGTCTGGTCACCATCAGGCAAGTTCTTGAAGTCAGCGACCAAAGCACAGGCTTCAACTGTAAGGTCATAGAATGAGGGGTCCCATCGGTGTCCAAATACAATGTTTTCTCGGACACTAGCATTCATAACCCACGGCGCTTGGGCGACATACGCGATCCGACCACGTACGACTACCTCTCCCTGGTTCTTCCATAGATCACCTAGCAATGACTGGAGAAGAGAAGATTTTCCAGCGCCAACTCGGCCAACAATACAGGTGAGCTCTCCCTTGCGTGCACTGAGATCGATGTTTTCCAACACAGTCTCCCCGCTATGACGGTTCCAAGTAAACGAGGCATCGCGAACACGGACAGACTCGTCACCGGGGTGCGCCACGGGATCTTGGAGGACAACGGCATCAGCCTGTAGCTCCTCCGCGGTGAAATATTCTACCAATCGCGTCACGGCCACGGAAGATTCGATAATGGATGTAATCACCATAGGCAAGATAGAAAGTGGGAATGTGAGCAAGTTGAACAACGTCAAGGCGGGGAACACAATCTCGGTAGACAAGGGTTTATCATTCGTCAACACAAAGACAGTGAATGTGGAGCAGGATACGAGGAAAGGGGTAGACTGCCAAGTGAAGTTGGCAACAGATTGAGTGGCTCCAATCTTACGGAGCGTGTTCAGCTCGAGGTCATTTCTGATATGGCTGAGTTTGTTCATGAAAGCCGTGTTCCAGGCGTAGAGCTTGATACTCTTGATGTTGTTCAGAATCTCAGTCATCAATCGGGTCCTCGAGTCCTTGTTCTTCATTTGGATGATCTGCAGCTTCTTCATCATTCGAGCAATAATACCATTCAGAGGAATCATGAGAATCATAACTCCGATACCGGCAAACATGCTCACTCCGAGAAGTTGGTAAAGGGAAATCATGCACAGGGTGATTTGGAAAGGCGCAGAGATAAGCTGAGTGCCGAACTGGGTCAAATCTGCAAGGCGCTGCTGATCGACTGCCATGTGGTTGACAATATCACCGGTCGTCTTTGCCGAGCGCCCTTCGTTGGATAGTTTCAGGGACTTGGCATAAATCATAGCAGTCAGGGCTGATTTGACTCTCATGCCAGTGTCGAAAGCGCGCTGGAAATATTGATGGAGGAAACTGGTCTGGCAGACAGAAACAACAAACATGGACAAGGCGATTGCGACACCCCTGATAACAGGCTGCGGGTCTGGGCCTCGGTACGAATCGATGAAGGCAATGAGAAGTCGTAGGAGTTGCGGTTGCACAAAGGCAAGAGTATCGCTTCCGGATTTAATTATCGCACCACGCACATAAGGGGCACCGAAAGCCTTGAAGAGCGCTATCCACAGAGATGGCTTCTCCTTTTCGAGCTGTTCATCCCATGCCTTCTTCAGGGTATCGCCCGTGGCTCGGGTGGTATCGCGACTGCGGAGATTCCAGAGGTCATCTTGGGTCAAGTAGTTTTTGTATCCGTATTTCATCATCGGAGTCATCCAACCGAAGGTAAGAACCGAGAAAACATCGGCATAATTGTAGGGACACTCATCCTCATCTCCCAGCGCATCGTAGGCGCTTTGCTTCTTGGGGACGAAATATTCTAGCACAAATTCAAAGAGTGCTAGTCCCAAGCTGACATTGAAGCAGACAAAGTAAGGTAGTTGGTCGATGTATCCCTTCCGCGAAATCAGGGACCGGAGTTTGACCGCGTATGCGATGATGAAGAAAAGCCAGTAAAATAGGACAACCCCATTGGGCTGTCTACTCCGCCAATGTTCCAAATATTGAACTGAGGTTATCACTCCCAGCGAAATGATCGTTAGGACGGAGGACCAAAAGCGAAAATCAGCCCAGAAGCGTTTAGGGTCTAATTCGACTTGGATCGCAGCTTGCAGGGCGGTAACGACGGTGAGAGCAGCGAGAACGGCCTATGATGACCAAAATACCAGTCAGTACATTATCGATGACGTCCATGGGTGTGCGAGGGTATCCGGCATGTACTAACCAACTTGGTGTAGAAGTGCCAATTCTTCGATACAGGCTGTGGAATCCGCTTCTTCAGTAACAACCACAAGGCACCCAGTCCACTCAGCGTACCCCAGACTGCCACTAATGCCACAACCGCATCAAGAAAGCATGGCGTCAGATCGAATCTCAATGAGCTGACAGGGCCCCAGCCCTCGCTATCTGTACAGAAAGGCTGTTGCCGGGAATCAAGTGCCGATCCAAGGGAATGCAAAAGGTGCCCCGGGCGGGACGCCTCTAGGACCACCTGGGATTGGCCATCCAGCATTTTTCTTAGTGACTTCGTCCCAGTATGCCTTTCTGTGCACAAGCAAGAAAAGATACGTCGGAGAACAACCTCGAAGAAAGAACGGGGGTTAGTGCTTAGAAGTGCTAGGCTGCTTACAAAACCAAGCACGGGCGGCTCCACTTTACAATGGAGAAATCCTGAGTTCGCGGCTGCTTACAACCTGGGCATCCTCATTCCTCCATATGAAATCCGACTTATTATATCATACATGTATACATGGAGGCAGGGTTATCCGGAGTCCTTGCATGAAATTTGCGTAACACAAGTTAACTGCCTATGTAGGTATGTCTTCCTATCACCTCTCAATCCCGAATACGAGTTTTCCAAGACCTTCTCACATGACCGGAAACGACGTAATCCTCGGGGATAAGCGCACTAAGACCGATGCGGCTATTCCGTCTTATCGGGTTTGTATTCCGACTTTGGAAGGCTGATGGCTTCTAGGACTGTTTATAACACTGGTCACTAATTAATCAACATTGATTTGTTTATTCTATATTCTATATGTGATAATGTAGAATGTTTCCATGTCCTTTTCTTCGACAAATAACCAAACAGGTTATAGCACAATATATTTATTCATTGGTGCTATATATTATTTTCGGATTTCAACCATTTTCAGTAAATTCCTCAATGACCTTGATTATCTCTTCGTTCCCTGAGGTGCGTGCATATTCAGCTGCACTACCCCAGCTTCCTCTTATACACGGATCTGCCCCATGCTCTAACAACCACTTGACCCGCTCAACTGCTCCTGCCATCACCGCATGCACAATCGCGTATTGCGGGACCATATGTCGCGACTCTTCTCTCTGATTAACATCAGCCCCACGATCGACCAATAGTGCCATTACTGGAATCCTGCCGGTGTCAAATTCTCGGCTCGGTACCACACGCCCAGCATGCGGATTCGCGCCGGGGGGACAAGCTCCAGCAGCATGGTGTAGTGGTACACCGTTTTGGATCTTAGCCCCTGCATCTAGAATCATACGCATAGCCTCGACCCCTCCACGAACTGCGGCTGCCTCGAGTGCAGCACATGAGGAAGTATCTGGCCCACCACGCCTGTCATGGGTGGTTCTTTGCACACCAAGGTTGGGATTGGCTCCATGGTCGATGAACCAACGAAGAAGAGGGAGTCTGTTGACAGTCCGAGGGAGCAGGATACTACCATAGTAACCTGGGGTGTTGGGAGTCCATCCATACTGGGTAAAGAGCTCAAAGAGGGCAATTTGCTGTTCCAAAGTTACGAAGAAGATATTGCTTGGAGTTTCGCGGACAATTGGTGCGCCACTAGTGAGGAGATAACGAGCAATCTCAATATTACCAGAGCGTAGGGCACGTGTAAGACCATGGTGAAGAAAAGCAGGTGTGAGGTTTTTAGATGAGACAATGGACTGAATGATTGAGAGGGGCCCGTGCTGGCAGGCGGATTCGAAGGACCCGAAGAAGGCGGGAACTAGACCGACCGACTGAGGATTTTCACCGATGAAGATAACATCAGCGGGTTCTAGTATGGGCAGGTCATCATATTTGGACCCCATTGTCCCTGATTGAGGCTGCATTTGCTGTCCTAAAAGAGTGCCACTGTTTCTGCTAGGGTTTGGTTGTCGCTTAGCAGTTATCATCTGCATCCGACGTCGGCGTGCATTTAGAATTAGCTGCTGTTGACGCTGCTGTTGTGAAGACATGTTATCCGCATCGATGGTAAATCCTTGTCTTCTATATATTAGATTTTGTCTAAGTTGAGAGATCGACGGGGGTTTGGCTGCCAAAAGATGTAATCCTGATGGGAATTCAGGCCGCTGCCCAGGTTCCCTGGTGCACCTGTGGGATTACATAAGAGCATTTAACTAACTAGCCACTCGGCCAAAAGATCAAAGAGACAATCGGAACCTCCGATTGCCACTATAGCGGTATATATAATAGGCCTTAGACTCTGCTCGGGACCACAAAGACGTATTTTGTTAGTCATGTCACAGTCTAAATAAATCCAACCACTGACCATTCAAGTTCAGATCAAAAGTCAACATCATGTTAATTGGACCTAGGGAATATGTATGTGCCTTGAGGCTGGAGGTTAGAATGTTGAAAGCTGCCCGGGAAGTCCTCAAGATAGAACGGTAACGGTGCTAAGCGCCTAATACCATACCTGGCATTGTATGGTATTGGGCGCTTGGAGCTGTTGCCTCTTTATTTCATACGTAATGGAAAATAATATTTGAATGTTCAACTAGGACAAAGACGACGTAAACTTTGGCGGGAGTGAGAGAGGATTTAACTATGTATATAAATCACTGCCTGGCGATATCTATGGATTATCCAATGGGTTATGTCCCGAGTGGCATACTTAGTCGATGATTATTCCGGTAGCCAATTTTGCCCTAGGTTTAGCCAAACCCTCCCGACCACCGTGATATATAGACTAAACACCCCACAACAGACTACCAGAAACTACCTAGAGACAATACGCCGAAGTTACACGATATTGCAACAATCCAATATATTTTAAACTGAGAAGATGGAAAAAATACATGTTCAAAATGGTAAATCGGTATCATCGAATAAGCCTATCATTTGCTGATTGAAAGAAAACCAGCGTCTAAGCCACGGTTCTTGTGCCCAGTTGTTTCCTTCGGCATCTCGATTCTGGGCAATGGCTTCCACGCTTGGCTGGACTGATGACATAAAACTATCAACGTCCTCTGTGTGGTGGGCAGTTAAATATGTCGTGTGCGGCTGTAGCCCAAGAGCGCTCAAATGCGCGTCCACCTCATTTCGGAGTTGTAATTGCTCCTTTTCCATTGGAGAGGAGGGCAATCCTAGTTCGGTGTAGCGCAACGCCACGCTATACAATACCTCAAAGAGATGATGGTGTTTGGCAATTGCATTGGAGTGTTGGCAGGCGCACTCAATAGATTTGAGGAAGGCGTGCATTCGACTCAAATCTTCCTTGTCCCTTGTTTCGATTGTATGACAAAACATAACAATGAAAGGAACAAATGGCGTGAACAAAATGGTCCTGAAAGCACAAATATCAGTACAAAATACAAACATACTGACATTATTCAAGCCTGAGCTCTGTCCACACATACCAGTTGACATACTCTGATAGTGCTAACGACGAAGCTTGCATTCCAAAGCTGCGGATAAATGCCTGATGGGATTCAAGGGCACATCTAGCAGAGGTAATGCAATCTAGGCTGAAGGTTGTCCCGGAATTAGGCTCTGGGGGCATAGCTCGGTAGATTAGTGTCAACATTGAAAGGCGCAGAACTTCGTCAGATGCAGAGATAAAGTGGATCTGCTCTCGTTCACATTCGTCCCCGCTTAATTGAGCCCAGAGTTGCTACATTGTTAAATTCATTGGTCAGTTAATGTCTCTCGCCGAAGATAGACAAGAACAGGTATGCAAACATTTGTGTCACGCGCCTCTGCACAATATCCATGGAGCTCCTGCGATAGTTCTAGTGCTCGATGGGTCCGGGTATCTTCTGTCAGACGAAGGGCATCTGCCGAGTAAAGCTGCTCGTAAATCCTGCCTGCCAAGCCAGCTAGCTTTACCGTCTGGTAGGCATAGCAAATGGCGTGGCACTCCGACATTTCTAGACCCTCGAGCGAAAGAACTGTAATATCGCAGTTCGTTATAATAGAAGAACGCCCGAGTCGGACAGATAAATTCTTCTCAAAGATATAAACCGCCCAAAAGAGCAATCGCTTGCGATCTGGCTTATATGAGGAATCTTCTGAACTTTCCGAGTAAGTGTGGAAACCGAGGGAATGTGCGCATTGGTACGCTGTCGCCACCAAGACCCAGGCTAGGGACGTATTGGATATATTGATAGCATAGACAATCTAGAGCTCCATATTAGCATAAAGGGAAAATATGGGACGACAGATAGCGGCATACACCTAGAATAAGAGCGAGAACCATATCGTAGCTAGGTTTCACATAGAGAGTAAGCTTTGAAAGCGCCGTCTCCAGGTTCGTTTGACACATAAAGACTAGTTTATTGTGCTCGTCATAGGCCTCGGTGCCGTTCTGCCCGGTAACTATGTCAGAGGCCAGACCTACATATTATATTAGTTGGACTTTTATATCGTCGAGAAATCGACGTACTCACAATTCAAAGTTGCGTTCACAATGATAAACTCTGCATCGGAGTAATCAGAAGAACAGTAAACCTTCAAACATAGATCTGACAGACTTCGTGGGCTCAGTAAATAACATAATCCACGGAGTATAAAACTTTTTTTATCTGCACTCAAATAATCAGTAGACGTGGATACACTAATACACTAATAGTCGTGAAGGGTACCTTCGGCTTCCCGCAAGAGCCGGACAGCGGCTCTCAATGGGGGCATATCATATTGCTGATGATTTTGGGAGGCTGTCGCATGTACCAAAGGGAATAAAGGCTTTGACGAAAAACGGTGGTCGTCGGATGCATTTCTTATGTGGTGTAGCGTGTCTAGTAGTTTGCCAATTTCATGGTTACTTTGCCCTAGCGGTTGACTCGAGCCGACGACGTAGTGCGCAAAATCAATAGCAAACGCGGAATGAGCTTTTAGTGAAGACTGCCCTTCACCTAACGTTACTTGGTTTGTGATTTCATTTGGAGGTGACCCGACTTGATTGTTGGACGATTGAGCGTTCATAGTGATTACCTCCGAGGTGGGTGAGCCCACAGGCGTGCTTCGGGATGGTATATCTTGCGATACAAATACAGGATTCGAATTATCTCGGTGATTGAGAGATATTCCCATCGATCCCACTGGATTGTCTGTGATAAGCGATTCGACAAGACGATTCAGTCGACTGAGCTTTTTGTCGATAAGATCAATCTTCTCTTCACTATAAACTAGAATTAACATACGACACTACATAATTCGATATATTTGAGCTTACTATTGAGATGATATCAAAACTCGTGATCTTTTCTGTCTAGCAGCACGGTTGGATGCCTTGCAGTCTGAGCCCGCGCATCGGCAATTTGAACAAGGGAACGTCTTATCACAACGTATCTGAGACTTTAAGTTAGAAACTGGGACATATAATAAATATAGTAGACCGATTTCTAACCTTTCGTTTGCGACATCGATCACACTTAAAAGTTAGTTTGCATATCAACTTGCTATCAAATGTGTGGAGCTCCTACTGCCCGTCCCGAATGTAAGGGAGTATCATCCTCGGAGTGCTCGAAGTGCTCGAAGTGCCCAGACATATTTACAGACAAATTGAACAGCAATAGCAAATATATGTGTAAGTAAAAATCGAGAAGGTTGTGGACAAAGAATTAGTGGCAGACTAGAAGACCTTCCTGTCCGTCGGTGCCCGCGGAATCCGCGGAGTCCGTGGGGCCCGTACGGCTCCTGGGGGTCTCTGTTTTAGACTTCGTATATCCCGAGCCCTGGTAAATCTGGTATCAAATATTTCCTCCAAATCAAGGAGTGTGATTAGTTTTCGAGGTCTACCGAAACTTACGTGTCTTCTACCTTACAAAACACTGGAACCATTTATTTCTCAAGTTTTTCGTCAGATTAAGTCCCACCAACATTCAATCCAGGAACTGGGAACAGTCAATTCGGAGAGACTTCCGGGATAGGTTAATATTGTTGATTCAGACTGTATTAAGACCACTGAAAGGCAAATACAACATGGGCATGTGGTTATGTAGGATGCGAACTAGATATCGTATAGATATATCCAAATAATGCAAATATCATAACGTCGGATATAGTCGCCAGTCTTCAGCCACATCGATATCGACCACTCTCCCCCATACTATACCCTAACTATATATGACTTTTCATTATAAAATATTTAGATCCAATAATCATCCTTAATCCAGACAGTAAGAACGTAAAAATAGCTCGAAATGTCCACTTGACCATTATCTTTCTGTCACTAGCATTATCGCCTTTATAGAAAGAGAGTCGGCAGTAGCAGATGTCGACACAAGGAGCCCAAGGGTCCTATCTCAATGGCCATCTAGATGTTCTAGCAATTGGCTTTCTAAAGGGTCGATTGATCTAGAAATTCTAGATATAAAAATCTCAGAAGCTTTAATAGCTTTTATAATAATAAAGAGAGAAACATGGGGCGGACCGTTCCAATGGGTACGTGAGCACATAAAATCCTAGAATAAGTACTATGACCTGAATCAATTTCTTCTCTAGAAGGCCGCTTGATATATATGACATAAAATTCTTGATAATTATTGCGGTAGGGCTTTTAGACCTCTTGTGCCGACATCAAGTGAACCTTGAGAGAAGGAATCGAAATAAGAGAAGCAGATGGAAGTGACGTCATAATATACAATCCCGTTCTGAATCACGTGACTACATGTGCTAGAAAAGCGTAAAGCGTAAAGCGTATACAAAGTAGATAGCTATACCTATTTAGCGATAGGTGAAAAAAGGATTATCACAAATTATACTGTATGAAGCCGTAGGGCATAGAAAAGAATGTCCATGGGTGTGATTTCCTAATCGGGAGGCCGACTCGTTGGTATTAGCGAGCACGGCCCACCTGGGCACAAGCCTTAGAATTACTCATGGAAAAAGAACGTTCTCGAGGTCCTAAATGAGGCTGAGCAAACTTCCAAATATGACTCAAAATCATTGCAGATTCAGCATCTAGACATAAAAGCGACGGCGAAGCGCGTATAGTCCACATAGTGCCCGCATC